ATAAAAGTTCTAGGAGAAGACAGACAGTGCGACAGTAGATTTTTCAAGTGGGAAAACCATATGAATCTGAAGTATTTCACAACATAAATATGCTCCAAATTCATTAGTTGGGCAAAACACAAACAGATTATCTGTTTTGTAACTATTACCATACACAACAACAAGAAGCCTTATTTTACCAATTGGAGTAGGTCATGAATCATACAATGTCATTGGCTCCATTACCATATCAACAAAAGTAAATCATAAACAAATGCGATGATGACCAAAAAAAACTAATTTAGATTCAATATTTTCAACATTATTGAGAGGGTAAAAAGAGTGCACTCCATAATCGTAATCCAAACTCTTCCTACGTCATTAGAATAAAAGCTGATAACTAAAAGCAATTGAACAAAGCGCTACTACCAGTCACATTAGCATTTAGCACCCGGACCCCATCAATGCCATCTGCTCCTAGGGTTTCTCTACCACTAATCATGTAACAATTATAATTTGTTCTGTGAATAAGCACAAGTGCTGATCAGAAATCTCAAAAAAGCATATACTAAAAAAATTGTTTTTGAAGGTGAAAAAGGCGTGCAACATTTATTATACTTGCTACATTATTAGGGTAAATCTAGGTTTTTCAGACCACTTGTGGATCAGAACATTGGGATTTTCACCTTTCCATTGGTGAATGGATCAAAACTTTCAGATAAAACAACGACAAATACAGCTTCAAATACTGATACCCCATCAGATAAGCAGACAGTGGATAAAGTTTACCCTGCATTAAATATGATAGGTGGCAGAAGGTATATAAAGAAAAGATCTTCGCTGAAAACAAGAAGATGGGAGCTTTGACCACCCCTTATCAGCAAAATAACAACGCCTGTGCAAAGACCCTACCAGCAATTGATATAAATTTCAGTCATTATACAGTAAGCGGGTAAGAAAATAATAATGCTAATAACAACGATTAAAGAAGAAGCTATTACTGATCAACATTACAATTATATATACAAATAGCTATTTTCAATTGAAAGCGGACACTTACAATCAAAAGGGCGGTGATGGACTCATTCATCCATCGATTCTCCTCGAGAAGATGGCCAATCACAATACAAGCACACAGGAGTGCCACAAATAGGTTCATGGAGACCACGGAAGCATGATCAGAAGTCACTAGCAGTTGCAATTTCGGGAAAACGGAACTCAAATCAAAAGCCATTTCGTTCGGCCTCTAAATTGAACAATCAAAAGAATCAGGCAGCTCGAAACTTTCAAATTATTGTTATGAAGATCGAATTCACTCAGAACTTGGAATCTCCAAATCTATGTTTCCGAGCTGTCCATCCTAGTGACCTTCGGATTTTATCAAAGGAAGCATCTGCAATTAGAAAAACATGCAGGCTAAATATCCGATCATGAAAGAGAAAATCTTACAACCAGGAGCTATTTCGAGAAACGATATGCAAATACGTGTGCAAATAAGCTTTCATAGCATTGGCAATAAGGGGGGAAAACTGTTCATAACAATCTCACTAGAACGTGTAGAAATTAGCAAAGAAATCGAGGAAATCGCAGTGTGCAGCATTGTAAGAGCCATTCTTTACGCTTTTAGTAAGCTTCGACATACAATATCAAAATTCGGTAAAATTCTTATGCAACGAATGATGAGCAAGATTTAGACGACAATTCGTTTGCATAGCTGCATAAAACAGAGCAAATTGCTTACCAAATCGCTTTTTAGAAGCATGCTACTAAAGAACATTGTGTGAGGCTTCACAGGCTTCGAACCTCTTCATTACCTTGGATTACAGACCGAGCGTTCACGGACTTCGAACAGAGAAAGCCAGGGAATCTATCTCTATCCGAACTCAACGCAAATTGGAAGGCCTTGAACTCTCTAAGGTGATTTGGGAGAAAACACCAGGACAACGAAAGCTCTGGAAATGGACAACATAAAAAAGCAGGGGAAAGCTGGGAGAATAAAATAAAACCGCACGCACGAGAAAGGTGATCGGACAAGGGATACAATAGTTTAGAAGGAATTTTGTTGATTCTTTTCAGAAATCTTGATTGCAGGGAAGGTCTAAGAGAGAATACTAGAGCGACGAAAGCTCTGGAAATAGGGAGATACTGGAAGACAATAGTGGACAGAAGCAGAGAGAGAAATCAAGAGAACCGTGTGTTGCGGAGGACACGGAGGGAGACAGGAGAGAAAGACGTAGGCCAAGATTGAAACAAGTCCCTCTAAACGGTAAACGCATTCCCAGCCGTTCATTTCATAAATAGAAGATGAGATTTTAAAATCGGACGGTGCCTAGGTAACACGGCAGATTTTGTCGCCGAAATAACATTTGCCGTGGTAACGTGCATAAATCACCGGACATCAAAGGAAGACGCCAAGCTTTAGCAACGTGAGAGTATTCCGTACATTTTAGGAATTTAGGATTGCTATGAGCAGTTATGAAGTTTTTATATTATTATTTATATTAAATATGTGACTCACAGGATACACTTATACCATGTGATGAGTGCTTACCAAAAAAAGCATGTGATGAGGTTCCTATCTGATTTATGGGTGTACTGTGTACCATGTACTATGTAGTATAGATTGCTAAAAGTCCATGTGAGAACGGAAACCAAACATATTAATGCCCGGGTTTCTGTCAGCGTCAATTCTCTGGTCTCATCAGGCAAAGAAGATAATGAATGCAGATGAGTCCGTTGGATTTATTCCAGAACACCGAGAGTCATATTCATGTTTTATTTTGTTTTGTTTTGTTTTTTTTTTGGCCAAAGAGAGTCATATTCATGTTGCGGCTATGTTACTTGTTTTCTATTTTTATGCGGAAACTCAACCAAGCGACCTATGCAGATATGGCCCTCTTTTGGGTGAGAATACAAGTTGCCTTCGGCATCATTGCAAAATGCCGTAATTGGTGACGAATGAACATGGCAGAGGGTCATTTATACTTCATCATTCAAATTTTAAAATTATATTGCGTGACGTTCATTTTATGTATTATTTTTATATTTTATATTATTTTAAAATTTTGTGAGGAAGTCTTTGTTTTCAGTATAAGCCTTCAATACTTTTTGGATTAAGCATTTTTACTACGTAAGAGAAGCTTCATTTATTGCAAATAGTTTAAAAAAAAGAAAAAAAATTAAATTATACAGAACTCGACGAGTGTGAAAAATAAAAAGAATAAAAATGTTGCAGACAATGGCTTTTCCCTGAATAAAAAGTTGCACACAAGCATGAACTACACTATCTTTAGCTCCCGAATTTAAAGACTCTTAATGGATTTTATATTACATAAAGGAAAAAATATCATTTAAGGATCACTGAGTGAGAGTAATATTAATCAACAATAAATAGACTACAAGATTAGAAAACTGATTTAAAAATAATTTTGGATAAGACAAGACTATAATATCACTATCTTTTTTTTAACTGATAGATAATCATTCATTAATTAAGAAATATCTATTTGCATTTAACAAGAAGCCTTTTGCAAACTGATAAGTAAAAAAATTGAAAGATTTTAGTTATGGGAAGGGACAAGTATAAATCATATTTCAACAAGTAACTATTCATTAATTAACAAATACTTATTCATATTTAATAAGAAGTCATTCGCTAATTGATAAATTTAAAAATATAAAAGAGTTTTGTTGTGAGAAGGGATAAGTGTATATTATATTTCAATAAATAGTTATTTATTAATTAATAAATATCTATTCATATTTAACAAGAAGTCATTTGTTAATTGACATGTTCAAAAATTTAAAAAAAAACCTTATTTGTGAAAAAAGATAAGTGTAAATTATATTTCTACAAGTAACAATTCATAAATTAACAAAACCCATTCACATTTAATTAAAAATAATTTGTTAATTGACAAGTTTCAAAAAAGAAAATAAAAATGGATGCATTATAATCTTTTTTAATTTAAAATTATTTTCAAATCAGTCTCCTAATCTTACAATAATATTTCGGAATCTTTTAGCTTTTATTTTATATTAATTTATCTTAATGATTGATATTTTCCTAATTAATTAAGGGATAAATTGGCCCATTGGTTCAAAAAAAATTTGTGCCCAAAAATATGAACTAAATTTTTAAAAATTTAACAATGTGACTAGTTCAAATTGATATATAAAGAATTTATCATTAAAAATTTAAAAATTTATAAAATTTTTATCAGTAATAGATAATAATATATCATTAATAAATATAATAAACTGCCAATAATACACAATATAATAAATATTGTGCTGTACACTTGATTTAATTCTATTACTTGGGTTAAAGCCCCTTAGTTAAATATAAAAAGCCGCCAAAAAAAATAAATACGAAACCTATTAAACATCTACTCGGGTGCTGCTTCCCATCAGAAAAAGAGTCGCCTCCCAAAAAGTCAACAATAAGTTATTTAGCATCGATGAAAATTAATTAGATATTTTATCCATACAATATATTGGAGAGATAATGATCAAAGAAAATTTTATAATGATCAAACACTAGATCATAACACTTGTAAACCACTCAAATCATTAATAGCAAAATATTCCAAATTAATTGCTGCTTTACTGTTTGCTTCATATGCACTTTTATCTCTATTCTACAAAGTGAAAATAATATTTTACATAATAACACATGCAACAGTATTTCAATTTTTTAGTAGAGCCGACTTTCATAGGTAACAAAGTAATTTTCATACATTTTTTTATACGTTTTTATCAAGAGTAATATGACCATTCATTTACTTTTCATTTTCATTTTTCACTCACTCAAATATAAAAATAATTTAAAATTTTATTTTATACCGTATTCTATTTTACTACCATCTGCAGTTTTACTCCCATCCTCATTCACAGTTTTATTACTTCAAAGATCATTCCATGTTCCAATCGTGAAAGTACTTTGATCATAAAATCAATTTTTTCTATCAACACGTTACTTTGACTTAACCATTTTTTTTTTTTTGGGTCAGAAACCACACTCAAACCTTGAAATGAAATATGTATTTCTTTTCAAAATATGTCAAACACAATTATTTTGCTTCGTCAAAAACTGGCATGATAAATATTTCAATAAGCAGACGTGACATTAGCTTTCAGGGCCAGAAGACCGTTTAACCTCAAATTCCGGTGGAAAGGACACGAAATAATGGCTCCTCAAAATGATTTCCACACCCCCTTTGGATATCGGACCGATTGCTGCTGAACAACTACAAGAAAACCCTCTACAGCTGTCACTTATTCTGTCCACCTCAACGGATTTTCTTCTGTTAATGCTACAAAAAAGAATGATGCAAAGAAAAAGGAATCATAATCACAGGCCGCTGCTGAACTCTGGCAAAATTTAGCAGAGGACTAGGATACACTCGAAAAAATTACATAAAATTTATTAAACAGGCCACAACTGCCCACCGTGGTTCCAGTATGAGAAATATAAATAGACATATTAGAAATAAAGAATTTAACCTGATTTTTACGTTTCTATGAGCCAATAGAGGAGGGACACAAAATCTCGTACCTCCACTCGATTTCCTACTTCGAGAAGTTACAGGGGTTTTTAGCCTTCAAAGCTTACAAAGAAACCCCACATTCAACATGAGCCCGTTTCTGTACACACCCTGTCATGAGCACATATTAATATTACAAGATAGCTGCCAATCCCACAACTTCCTCATCACCAACTTTGGATTCAGGAGCATTAGATGAGCTGCGCGGCCTCACTGAATGATAAGCAAAAGAGGTTACAAGCTGAATATAGCCAGTAGAAGTAGATATCGCGGATCCTAGACTCAGACAAACTTGATTCATCTTTTAAAGAAGCATAGTCTCAATACACGGTAGCGAATTGAGAATCATTATAGAGTGAGCATTTAAGGAGAGGTTATTAAATTGAGCCTGAGGCCTCAAGTCTAAATTAACATCACCAAACAATTACTAGCAAGGATATAGGCTTAACGGAAGCTGCGGTAATTTATTAAATGCCAATCTCTACTTTCCAGAGGTCAAATCACTTACTTGAAACATTTGTGATAATGTTCACACTTTTCTGAGCTGCAAGTGCTTTTAATTTGTTTCCAGTCGCTAACAGAAGCAGGCTTCTCATATGCTGCTTCTGTTCTTTTGGACTGGCTGTTTTTGTTAAAGCTTCTTCAAAGGCATGTAAATCATGGGGGGTGATAGAGGGGAGAGACAACAGAACCTGAAAAAAGTAAGGAAACATTCTACATTACTCTTATCTGCAAATATATGCTAAACCCCAAAGGCAGCATGAGATAGAACAAACTAACCTGTCTGGGAGCTGGGTGTCTATCACAGAGATACACAAATATTTCACGACAGAGGCCGACTAACTCAGAACTGATTATAGCATTTGACTCAAGGGCTAAACCCTTAATAATGGAAGTAAAAAGATCTCTAGCAACAAACTCTACAAGTTCTGTATAATTTGTCCAAATTGATAGAGCTATCAACACAGAACAATATGAAGAAACTTTTGTCACAGCTTCACCATCAGTCCATGTAAAAGCTTCTAAGCATATGTGCAGCATTGACAGCGCTAAACGTTCATGCTTCAGAAGGAAACTGTCACATGCAAGACTTGTGAGAAAAAGATGAGCCAGCAAACTAACGTTGCAGAATGCAAATGCAACAAGTTCCATAACAAGAAAACATACCCAACAATAGAGCTTGATGCAACTGAATCCAAGCTTTTCAGAGAAGTGTCCAAACGACTAACATGCCCAGCTTGCTCTAAAGAAGGGAGTCCAACATTAAGTGGTGGAGAAGCAATAACAGAAAGGAGTGAACACATCTCACGGGTGAGATCCCTGAGAAGTTTTTCCTCCATCACTTCTACTTTCAAGTCTGATCCAGCAAGAATGCTGTGAACATCTGGAACCTTTGCTCTGCCATCTTGTAGAAGACTAGACCATGAACAACTGAGAGCCCGCTGAGCATAAATAAATAACGGGTGCAACAGCTGTTCCAGCCAAATCTCCCACATATCTGGAGGACAGTGTTTAACTAAAGGAATCAAAATAGAATGAACAAGCTGCCTTATATGCCTGAATTCCATTGACTGTATATTCTCCATCAACGCAACAGCAACAGAGTGCACATCAGAAATTTTGAAAAATAAATCCCCAATTGTTGTCGACAAGCCCAGTACATTATATCTATCAATAAATAAACCAAGGATTAAGTACTGCAATAGAAATGGTCATAGTGAACAACAACAGACAAACATTTTTCTTCTCATGAATGCTTACCCACTGTCTCTGATTCCTTTCAACCAATTTCGTATATCAGATTCATTTGGTTCTGCATGTCCTTCCTTATTCATATTGCCCTGAGATCCATCCATGAAAGTCAATGCACCTTTTGACAATTTTGGGTTCCCTTCTCCTAGAAGACTGAATCTCTCAACATCACTCATGCTCATTGCAGCTTTCACTTCCACAGGTAATGTTTGGTATATGGATGGAGACCAAAGAGAATGTATAGCACGGAGAAGCTGGAAAAATCAAATACGCTACAATTATTAATATTTGGTACAAAAGTTTTATGTGATAGTGTCTCAAGGCCGTACACATACTTTTAAGAGAGGAGGCAGCATCCATAACATATGAGAAGCCATTGGGTTTGAAGAAGTGGAATCTGGCATTGAGCTGTTTTCAGAATTCCAATAAGCTTTCTTCATGCCACTCCTCTTAAGTGCCTTCTCAAAGAATGTCACAGTATGAAAAATTGACCACATAACTGGTGCTTCTGAGCACAAGCAAATTAACCCTGGTGGATCAGACAAGTATTTCTCCTGCCATTCCAATTGTGTCCACTGTTGGCTCAAAGGTTCTAATAGCCAGGCCAAAACTTCCTGTTGCTGTTGAACCCTGCGCCAAGTTAAGCAACAACTAGTAAGGACAGGTACAACAGATATATTAAACGGAGTTATCATTTAATGATTACCCAGCAGCAGAAGCCATAACAAGAAAAGCTTCACCCAGAAGATTATGCTCTCCCTGAAGCAAACGGCCCTCCTTTTGCAAACATGCCATGGTATCGGCAATGCCCTACAACAAATTGTAAGAGTTAAAAAGATATTACATTTTCACAAACTAAACCTCAGGCCTTGGGCATATTAACTTAAGCATATCTTCACATCTTAAGTGTATAAAATGAAACCCAATGCAGTGACTGGTGAGAAACAAAACTATATCAATTGTAAAATTCAGCAAATTAATCTTGAAGGAATAGCTTCTGCCAAGATAGAGGGGCCAAAACTAATCAGCAGTGACATTTTCAGTCAGGCAACATAACAACAGGCTGATAGTCAAATGAACACACTGTAAAAGATGTTCTTGAACAACAAATGTATTTCATATATTTTACATTAGAAATGAAAAGGAAGATAACGAAAAATCAAACAAATGAAGGATAAGTGAAGCAGAACAGATTAAAATTGATTTCAGAATCCATCTTACTGTGAAAGATGAGACATTTAATTTTCAATTTTAATATATACATCACCGAACAAATGATATTGTCTGTTTCAGGCCAGCTAATTCAGCAATACTCCTGAAGGTGTATGACTTAGTGTTAGAAGAAGTTTATTCAAAAGTTAATCAAGATTAATAAATTTCAATGACAACCCTTTTCCTCCTCTTTTCATATTTAGTTTCAGTGCCAGGTGGATGAAAGCCAGTTCCCAATCATTTAGCATTTCACTGCCATGCTTAGCATACAAAGAGAAAACTTAACAAATAAAACAATGTACCTTCATGTGAGGCAGAATGCTTTTGTCAGCAGCTTTTGCTATCCGGATAAATGACGTACAAATCTGTAACCTTGCATGGCGTGCGCTAAATGTCGAAGTATCCTGCCAAGAAGAATACAGTCTTAAGTCTTGACCAGCAAGCCTAAGTAGTTTCTCAGTAATAAAAAGTAAAGTCAGAAAGGAGATTGTTCAGGAAACCTTGATGACAAAAGGAAGGGAAGTAAGAAGCTCAAATAGTTTACTGATAACACTCCCAACTGCATCTGGAAAATACTTCATAAATGGACCCATTGCATCCAGATAATGACCAAGTAGTTCCACAAGGGCAGGCTCCGTCCATTTTACAGAAAGAAGTTGCTGAAGCAGGCCTTCAAGGAAAATATCCAGAATTATTAAGGAACTGCCACTAACGCAAACCTAAATACAGCAATAACTTACGGAAAATTCAAAGAAAAAAACCTTCAAATATTCTACAGACTGCAAGCTGAACTTCAGCATTTGCCTTGGCAAATTCATTGGAACCATCAAAAACTGCACTAATGACATTGTCCAAAGACAACTGCATGCTTTCCATCACTGCCAAGTCCTGATGTAAAAAAAAAAAAAAAAGCAGAACCGATGATCAACAATTATAACATACACATGAAATGAAGCTGCAAGAAATTAAAATATTAAAAATCATCCTATTGAGAAGTTGAATAACAGTCATTTAAACCTGAGCTGGTGCTGGTGAATGCAACTGGTTCGTAATAATTGCACTAATTTTTTCCGAAACTTTAGCAGCAGCCATCAGAGGTTTGTAAGATGAAATAAGCCTAATCAGCTCCAACTGTTACGAGGAAATATTCACCAGTAATAAATATACAGAAACAATAAAGTTGAACCAAAACGAATGGGATTGCAACTAAAAAAAATCAAGAGTAAACATATTCACAGTAATGATGTTTAGGGCAATACCTACATTGACCAGAATCTCAATCATTTGCAATACATTTATACTATAAATTGATCTCTCCTTTATTGTGCACCATGCGTCCTTTCTTAACATGGATTGAATGTCTAGAATTAATAGTCAAATATTCGATTTCAATTTCATGATTTTTTCCTACCTTCTTATTTTCTACTTTGCAAAGTTTTTAAGACATTTAATTTGAGAAACTGTGAGCTTTCTGACAACTCAGGAACTAGGGAACTCCTTTAAATCTACAAATCAGTTTCCTTAGGATTTGTATAAGGTCAAACATTACAAGCAAAAAGGTGTCAAAAGGTAAATCCCAAATATGTAGCATGAATGCAAGTGTAAACCATCAAAACCTCAGCCTCTCATCACCGAACCACACTTAATGGCTTTCAGCTTTCACTAGTTCCTTTTATAAAAGAGTAATCCACCAATCAGCATGCTATATAGAAGAGGCGGACTATGTGAAGTCACCAATGATTCTTTCAACATCTACAGACAGAACTATCTTACTCCAGAGAAACAAAGTATCAAACAATGGATCATATTAAAATATACTCCCTCCAGTCTTTATTATAAATCATTTCTGACTAACTCATCAAAACCAAGGTAAGTTAGTTAGAAAAATAAATTTGTCTTAAAAATAAATCACTTTCTAATTTTGTCCCTACATTTAAAAAAGAGTGATTTAATGCGCGTGGAGAGTTTTTTTAGAAATTGAAATATTGTGCTTATTTTTAGAATTTGCTTGAAGATACTTTTGGAATTGTACATCAAAGGTTACAAAAACCAAGAGAAAGTGACTTATATATAGGACCAAGAAAACCTTCTAGAATATAACTTATAGAAAAGACCAGAGGGAGTATGCATGTAAAACATACCAGCCTAGATCGATATTGACTGAATTCACCCTTGCCTTCAAAGCCGTCACTCCACAACTCCAATACGCCTAAAGAAATTGCAGTTTCAGGAAGAAGCTTTTCTTTCTTGAGCATGCGAGGGAAAGACGTATCCAAAATTGCACCACAAAAACTGTCATTTACTAAACTTAGAATCTTTTTCTTCACATTTTCACCCTCTCCAGAACCAAAGCCACCAGTAGCTGAATTATCTGCAGCTGAGATTGCAGAGTTTTTTGGCTTTGACATCAAATCTCTCATCAGCACCTATAAGTAAACATTCAAGGGAAGAAAAGGAAGAGATAATCACTAAATATGCAGCCTTGACTATGGAACACTTTCAGAAATTACTTTCACAGAAATATTCAAACTTACCAGCCAAAAGTGTAGGGATTGGAAATGAATTGCAAACTTGAAATGTCGAAAATATCCCAGCATCTGGAGGAACCCAAAACAAAAAAAAAAAAAAAGAAAAAACAAAGCAAAACTGATTAAACTGGATTTCAACAGCTCAAATATACTTTGACAAGGAAAACACAGAAAACTGGAAACAAGAAGTTTCACATTCCCGCAAATCAAATACAAAGGGGAATATTAAAAAAAGACAAATTAAAAATTAGCTATTCTAACAAGGCATGTGAAAATTATCATAATAGTACCTTGAAACCAAGACAATCTGTCATCTACAATTATGCTTTCTATATTTCTTTAATGAACTAAAACCACAGAGATGTATGCATGATGTTCAGATTTAAATAAACAACAACGTACATGACAAAATTGCCAGAGACATGAGCCAAAACCAAGTTGGCTTGCATTATGCACAGACCTAAAGAGAATAGTCACATACACCACACATAGATCACACATATCATATAAAAGCCAAAGTATGTACTCATCAACATATCATTCTTCATGTCACTCTGTGATCCAAGTGTTATAAAGACTAGAGCATGGATTCGAGGGGAAAGGTAACATGTGGCAATAATAGCAAGGCAGAACCAGGCCCAATGTGTTTTCAATAGCCATTAATGACCATCAGTTTTGCACCCCACCCCTTTCCAAAGGTAGTTGAACAAGGACTTTCAAGGGGAGATATGACAGTGAGAAACCAGTAACTTATGATGCAGGTCAAGGCAAGACCAGGACAAATTTGGGTGATATACAATAATAGGATTTCAAGCTGATCTGAGCAAATTATGTTTTCAAAGTCCTGCCAGTTGAAGACTTTCTTTCTTTCTTTCTTTCTTTTTTTGGCATGAGAAGTCTTCTATTATCCTAGCTGCTCAAATAAATGTTGCTACAAAGCCTAATTACCTGTTCTAGGTAAAGAGGAAGTGTGGTGCTGTCTCCAGCAATACTTTGCAAGTTTGACGAACCCAATGACACCATACTTTCACAAATATATTCTGCTAATTCATAGTCACCCTCATCTATGGCCCCAGGACTTGACTCAGATCTGTACAAAAATTCTCTTGATGTGTTCATCGAGATCTGAAAGATGCTGTTCATAGCATAGTCAAACTCAGAAGCAGATGTGTCAGCAGGTCTCCTCCTACAATTACAATAGAGAAATTCACTGACAATTGGTCATTGCAAGTAAAATAAAATCATTAGCATGCATCAATGACTAGAGAACTATATTGCATACCTTGGGGAAACTAGTTTGAAAAACTCACAAGCATGAAGACGAAAATCTGGAGCAGAGAGAAGGAAGCCACAACTGTTTGGCAGTTGACAGGCATCCAAATTATTCACCAAGACCAATGAATTAAGTCAGATAATAAAGACAAGAAAGATACGTACCCGTTAATGATGCCATACTTAGCAAGATCAGGAAGTGGAGCCCACTCTGCATATGCATTTATGGCATTCAGAGTAGCTGTTACTGTAGCAGCATGCTGTTTTGCAATGTCCATCTGTTGTCTACCTACTTGTTCAATAGCAGCTCCAAAGTGCCTTTCTAATAACTACAACAAGCATGACCACATCAGCAATAATGCTTTACAAGAAGATAAGTTAAGAGGTTCAGGGCCGAGATGTACAGTGTACAAGAGAGGCAAAATTTCAGGCAGAGATTGTGTTAACCCACGCAAGAGTAGCCTTCGCCGATCACCTGAACACAACAATATGCAAGTGAAAAGGGAACACGACATTTCATATATGGAGAAGCATCTTAAGAACAAAATATAACGTTGTAGAGGTTTGGGTACATGCAGGACACATTGAGAGCACTTCCACAAACCAAACTATAGTGTCCTTTCTCATTTTGCAGTAATCTGGAACTTACTACTACTGGGCCTCCAAGTTTTTCACTAGAAAACACTGGCTCACTCCATTATGCAAGATAATCAAGTTCACAAACTTGGAAAGGTCCAAATTTTTCACTGTTATGCAGTTACCAAACACACAACTACAACTACAGGAGCAGACTAAAGGCAGTCCAGTACAGACCTTCCAAGTCTTCATTGTGAACTGTGATATCTTCAGGGAGCCACCGCAGCATCATTGAAACCAACTCAGCCTAATGCATAATTGGAAAAACATTGAAAAAAAGTCCGTACAAGAAGAAATGAAGTCAAGCCCAACAAGAATAAATGATGCAAGTAGGGTAACATGGGATGTACTTGAATATGACCCTTGCCAGATAGAGAAACCAGTGATGGAAACAATTCTTGCCATAGATTAAGACCCTCCCTTCTAATTATCTGTAAAACAATCATCAAATGCTGTTTTTTGACAGCAAAACCACAGAAAATGATAAAATGAGTAGAAATGCAAATGAAATTGAGAGCATCATGATGAGAACCTCAGCAACAAGGGCAGCTGTCTGGCTTTTAAGAGGCCATTCTTCACAAGGATCTGCAATCTCAGACATCAAATCAACAGAAAGATTTGCGAAGTTCTTACGCTCAGAAGGGCTTAATTCATCCCACCTTAATCTCACCAAATGCTGTAAATGGATATGGTTCATACACCAACACAAGGATAAGCAATAAAAATAGAGCTTAAAAAGGAGAAGCAAAATAAATCCCCTACAACAGAGAAGGGGCAGTGGCATATGAGCATGAACCTGCAGCATTTTAAAAGCATGCAACCGAATTTCAGATGACCAATCCTTTTTTACCAAAAGAAATGAAGTGTTTGCCAAAATCCGCAAGTCACCTGCTTTGATCTGAAGAATTGAAGATATGTTAATAATGGCTGAACAGTAAAATGACAGAAGTATGATCACCTGCTTTGATCTGAAGAAATTGAAGATATGTTAATAATGGCTGAACAGTAAAATGACAGAAGTATGATCATTCATCGACTCAAACTGCTACAAGCACTAGGTTCCCCACTAGTGATAAGAAAATTAAAATCAACATGAAGTAATTAAACTATACAAGCTTCTTCCAAAATACCCTATCAACTAAAATTCGGGACAAACTAGGTTAGTTCTTTCATTAAGATCTGTTGCATGAAAAATCTCCTTTCTCCATATTTTTCTGTTTTTCTTTTTACAACAATATAAACTATCGTTCACTAATGTCCAAAATTTTATTCCATTTCTTTTAACAGAAACAAAGAAATTATGTCTTGTAGAATATTGAGAGTAAAGTTAGGAAGATAGTATATTATCTTATAGTGAACAAGAACTGATCAAGTAAAAAAGACTCCGCTAGTCCTGGAAAAGAAATGTCAAGAAACCTAATAACTACGCAAAAAAACTATACAGAAAAGCTTGAGGGGCTGATTGATACTCTTCAAACTACAGAAGCATAGTTCCTTCGGCACAGCTTATTGAGTTATAAGTTTAAAATTAAAGAGGCATAGCTGCCGGCTGTTACCCAATGCATTCAATTGAAACAGCACAATCTAACGTAAGACTACCAATAAGACAAGTCCATGCAACCAAAAAATACACGGCAAGCCAGCAATTGATATTGCGGAAAATTTTTTGCCGATGAACTCAGGCGCATTGCTAATTGGTATACTTCTCCTTTTCTTCATTGCGGCTTGTCATTCACTGAACGAGCATGATTACCATCTGCTAATTAGGGTTCATATACAATAATTTATATAAAAAAAAATGCAGCCAAGAAATCTAAAATTCCGGGCTCTTTACCCAAAAGAAAGAGCGCAAAGAAAGTTCAAAGCTTGAGTGATCGTAAAACAATTCTAAAGTTGTCAAATCCAGAGTGTTTATGCGAACCTTTTATAAGTAGATGACAAATTTTAAGATCTCCAATGAAATCATTGGGTATGTTTCTATTTTTTAACCAGAATATTATTTAAGGGGAAAAAAAACTTGCCCTACGCATGCAGGGAAGAACAGATACAGAGAGAGAAGGAAGAGAAGTACAGATTCCAGAAAAGAGACAGCAGCTTTTCGAGAGTCGGGAGTGGAGTTCCAGTCCAGGGCGGTTGCTATGGCGCGAGCAACATTGTTAGCAGACACTGTGTTAGTGTCTTCCATCAGAAACAACTACGTTTGCGAATCCTGCCCGGCCTCTGTGAGTCTTCAGGTTTCGTTGTCAAATAAATTCTGGAGAGAGAAAGACAGTGTAAGACAGAGAGATTCGCTTCGGACTAGAATCGGTTGAGTGTTGAAGTGGTGTTCGTGCCTTCGCGGAGCGAGGATGGTTTCTGTCCTGTCCCGCGTTTGGTACTTTGATTATCATATCGCACTAAAATATAACATCTTTTTTTTTTTACCAAAAAAAAAACTTTTTTAATAAACTAAAATTTGAAGAGAAAATCACCTACAAATTCTGTAAAGTACATTTATTTATACATAAGTCTTATAAAATTTAAAAATTATAATCAAATTTTTTAAAGTTTAATTATAATTTAAAATTAAATTATAAAAATAATAATATCCCTATTAAATATATATTATATTAATTAAATAATTTATTTATAATTATTTCATCAATAATTTATAATTTTAATTTTTTATAATTATAATTTTAAATATTTAATAATTAAATAATTATATATTATTAATAAAATTTAATATTAATAATTTAGAATTACTTCATTAATAATTTACAACTATAAATTTATATATTTAATAGTTAAACTGATTAGTTTAATTATATATTATGTATAAATTATTGATAAAATAATTATAAATTATTTAATTAATGTAATGTGTATATATATATATATTTATATATTTAATAGTAATATTATTATCTTTTTATTTCAAGTTTAAATTACATTTAAGTTTTAAAGAATCTAGTTGTGATTTTTAAATTTTGCAAGACTGATAACAACTTTGTTTCATGAGTTCTATATATAATTTTTCAAGTTTTAAAATCCATGCATGGATTGTAATCAACACCACTTAGTTTTAAATTTAATTTAACTGTAAGCATTAACCAGTTAAATTTAAATTTTGTTCACTCCCTCTATTAAAAAAAATATAAGATATTTTTAATTAAATTTTACTTTTTTAAGTAGTCAAAGTAGTTATTTATTTTTAAATTAACACCATAAAAATATAAGAAATTTTTAAACATAATAGATTAAAATGTGTGTTTAATTTAATATAAACACAATAGGCAAGACAAAAAGTTACGTTGAACTATTTATAATTTGTAAATGGTAAAATTTTTTTACGATTTTATATCATAATGCGTGCCACTGATCCAATAGCTTTGAGAATTTTTCAGGGACAATTTTGAAAGATATCATAAAACTCAATATTGTGCCTCATTTAATAACAAGTATGATAGTTAAATTTTTTTAAAAAATAATAATAATGGTTGAGTTTTTAATATAATCTTTAAAAAAGAAATAATAAAGATTGATTTAAAAAATTATAAATAAAATATTTAAATTTAAATTTTAAATATAACTTTTAATTTTGATATCAATCAATCTTCCTAACAAAACAAATCCACCCAAGCTAATTTAGACACCCAACTCCGGACTCAGATCGTTATTCATCGGCTTAGTGAATAGCTCCTAGCTATAGCTACAGTATCGGCTTTAAGCCTTCAAGCCACGACTCCTGAGGAGGCTTAATTAATGCATGTATACGGGAGATTTTTTACAGGACTTTCCTACCAATTCAGACGACATTAGCTTCATCTTCAACAAGGCAAAACTCGTATATAGTCCTTTGATTTTATTTATAAGATAAAAAAATTATTTACAAGATATTTTTTAATTTTTAATATTTTATTTTATATTTTTTTCTTGTCAAACATTTTAAATAAGAATATGGGCAATTCTTTTTTGATTGCTGAGCGCTCCTTCGTATAGTACGCTTCTATCTAAATGTGAGAATCAAGATGGGCCAGCTCCTCATGGTCTAGCCCTAGTTCATAAGAACTAGGTTGTAAAGTTCGATTATTAAAATTGAACTTGATTTTGAGGCTTGGCTTTAAGTTTTTTTTTTTTTTAAAAACTTTAACATTTTAATTTAAACATAATATTATAAAATTTAATATGAAATAAATTAAAGTTTCACATGAAATTTAACAAAGATTTAAAATTTTAAATTTAAAATGAAGATTAAAATCTTCATCAATGTAAATCTAAATCCTTCTCATTATCATCTAAAAATAAGATATTACATTTCTCAGATGTAGATCTACTTGTTAAAGATGAAAGTAAAAATTTAATGTTAATTATCTCTGCAACTTTTTTTTCATCACTTGTAATAAATATTGATCAAATTATATCATTATTAATCAAATATATGTATGTGTGTGTGTAAGATAATTAGGTTTATTAGGACTTGAAAAGTTGTTTAAGCTTGAGTTTTTTTTTTCACATGGTTTATCAAGATCAGATTTTTAAGTCCGATTACTTTAAAAAAATAATTTTTAAGATTTGAACTTTTATTTAAACAAAATCTCTAAGTACAGCCCGGCTTTTCTTCTTTGGTTATACTTTCATCCACTCCACTATCCCATGCATGCATTTGACGCCTCAATTTTGTCGTCTTCCCACGTGCTATTCATCTTTTGATTTGTCTCTACCACTCCCCTTCTCTCTCTTCTTATTCATCCAATAGACTAGTGGTGTCTCACGAAAATAGCACTTGTGATTGACATCTTCTACGAAAAACAGCAACGAGTCCTTTCATCGAGACGGAATAATCAGAATGGATTGTGGAGGATTCACTGGAGGTGAAGAGGTACTCATGTCTTCGGATCTCCGTCATGACTCATGCCATGGACAAGAAGTGGATGAAGTTAATGACTTGAACAAAGATAGTGAACTGTACACGTTAGTCGTCGAGGATTCTCTTGAATGTAACGAGCGACGACACCTTACGTTCGACTTGAACCAGCCACTTGAGGAGGATAATGTAAACTCACCAATGATGAGCAAAGTTGAAGCATCAGGAAGCACGTCAAAGGATTGCAACTTCGATCTAAATAAATTTTCGAATGATGAATGCAAAGGGGATAGCAAGAAGGAGAAAGAGCGTGTAAGCAATTCATAAGATCAATGCTAAAAATTTTCTCTCATGACGATTTATGAATGCATCTGTGTTCTGGAGAAGGATGCGGGTTTTTGTCTCTCAGTTCATGATGTCTTTCTGTTCAAATTTCCAAAAGATGTACTCAGCATTTCACGTGGGTGAACACATATGAAAGATTAGACACTAATCAGGGCGAAGCAAGAAAATTTTATTATACAATAATCGAAATATAATTATATATACATCACTAACATAACATAAATATTTTAACATCCATATATTTATATTCAATTTTACACATATATATTTAACAAATATATATATATATATATATATTCAATTTTATAGTTTGCTTATTAATTTTTTATAGTATAAAAATAATAAATCATCATGTTTATAATAAAATTTTTAAAAATTTCATTCTCAATATAGAAAATCATTAAATTGGTAAAAATTTCACCTTTCGTATAAGCATAAAATCATTTAAATGCATCTTTGAGATTTAAAGTTCTATTCAATATATATAAAAAAAATCTATTGCTTTCTTATTGAATTTACAATTTAATTCTTTCAATTGATATATTCTTCATTTAATATATTTTAGGATTTTTGTTGTAGTGCTTTATAAAGTTTGATATTAATAATTCTCATAATTTAATTCATCAAATATAAAATAAAAGCAAAATTAAATGATATCAATGATTTAAGAGTGATTGTAATGTTATCTTGTTGAAAATCAATAGATTTTATGACGATTATATCTTTAAACTACTGTAATAGTTAGACTATATATGTTTAAAGACTGCTATATAATTGAAATGATAATTTCATCTAGTATTTCAATGCTTATGATGTGCCAATTTAGGGGTTAAATTAAATATATAATCTCTATATTTTATTAAAAAAATTAAAAAGTTATGAGGGTCATGGCCCTATTGGTTCCCCAATCTCTCCCCCCGACACTAATCAATATATGCTTTTTATAACCATATGTTCAAAAGTGTAAAGGCATTATGGAACAAAAACCAAATAACACAAGTTAAACCAAACAAGAAACCAACGAAAAAGGGCAAATAACAAGTCATTACCTTTGGATACAGTAACAAAACAGAAGCCGAAATACCAATATAAAATACTGCAATGAAAGAAAAAAAATGAAGTCTTTCTTCTCCTCATGATCATCATATCATCCATCAACTTCTCATAATTGCCTCGGAACTTCTTGAACTATGGATGTATCATGCTTAAATTGACTTGGGAGTCTACCTTGTCTATGCAACTTGTCATTTTGACAATGAGGGTCTTTAAACTTATTTGAACCTTTATGCCTCATTATTTCTATCATTCGTGCTTGCAGTGATAAGAAGATTTTTGTTTTGATTCATATGATGGGAAGCTACCATAAGCTGTTTGCACAGCTACAATGAGGTCATCTAGAGCCTGCGGAGCCTCTTTGCGCTGCAATGCTTGAATACCACTAAAAAAACCCAAGATCTAGCACATTAAAATCAAGAGAGTTTGGAGGTTGACACATCAAACGAATGTCAAACCCACCTTCACGTGCAACCCGACAAAACTCTTCGTCATTTCCATCTACATGACAAGGGGCATTGCCTTGTTGTATGATGATTGTTTCCCCTGCAGTATCTATGGGCCATTTTGGCTTGATTGCAGGTAAAACACTGTGAAGAAGGAATTCGGCAATTTGACCACAATACTACATAAAAAAATTATTTATCAATATGGTATACTTTTAAAAATATTTTTTCAAATGTTACAAATTTAAAACTTAGCTTCAATGACACTGAGTTTTTTTTTTTTTTTTTTGCAAAAAAATACAGAACTTGATTTCTATCAAATCAAGTCTTGGACAAGTATCTTTTTTCAGAAAAGTACAGAACTTGGCTTCTATCAAGCCAAGTTCTATACTTATATTTAAAAAAAAAATAAAAAAATTGATGTGGCATGTGTAGCAAGTTATATCTACTATGACTCTATCTTAATATATGATTTTACTCCATAATTTTTTTTCCCTTCTTCCCTTGTCGCTAAAGTAGGTAATTCATGCCAAGTTCAATGAGTCAACCCAAATCCACCTTAAAAAATTTAGGATCAGGCTTAGGAAAAAGATATTTTTTTTTTAATGTTCACGCCTATTAGTCCAAATACCCAAATAAAAAATTTTTATTTTTAAAATGTAATTAAATATTAATTAATTCTATAATTTTTGGTTATTTTATACTAAAATATTATATATTTGAGTCTTTTACATCATTTAAGTATCAAAAAAAATATTTTATATTTTTTATAAAATAAACAATATTATTAATTATACACATAATTAAGAGTATTATTCTATTTCTATTTATAAATCACTCCTAACATTTTCATCAAAATTAAGAAAAAAATTATAAATCTCATTAATTTTAAGACAATTAATTAACTCATCAAGAATATAATTTGATTAAAAATATCTTATAATAAAAAGCCTTGGGAGTATAGTTTTTGAAACGGATAATTTGCATAATTATTATTATAAAATTAATATCATAGTTGCTTTATATAAAAACATCCAGATACATGTTGGCCAAAAAAATACCCCAAATGCATCACATATCCATGCAAGAAGAGAGGAGAGGGATGATAGGTAGAGCTAGAAATTCAAGCAAGGTGGGGACTATTCAGGCTTGGCTCAAATAAGTTTGACCTGAACAAGCTCAAACTCAAACAAACTCAGCTCCTTGAAATGCCCAAATAGCCAAGCTCAGGTTAAATACCAAAATTTTATTTTTAAAATTATTTTAATTAATTTTTTCCTTAAAATTAATTATTTTATTTTATAAAAAATATAAAATATATTTTTTGATACTTAAACGATGTATAGAACTCAAATATATAATATTTTAGCATAAAATAACTTAAAATTTAAAGAATTAATTAATATTTACTTATATTTTATATATTTTGAAAAATAAATTTTTTTATTCAGGTGTTTGGGCTAAGAGGCACGAACATACAACAACAACAACAACAACAAGCCTTTATCCCACTAGGTGGGGTCGGCTACATGGATTGCAAGACGCCATTGTGCTCTATCATTTATTAAGCTTTTAGAAATATTATTAATTAAGAGATCACGTTCAACAACTTCCAAGAGTGTTCTCTTAGGCCTTCCTCTACCTCTCTTAATCGGACTCAAAGTTATATGTTCCACTCTTCTCACTGGTGCCTCCCTTGGTCTTCTTTGTACATGCCCAAACCATCTCAACCGATTTTCTACCATTTTTTCCTCAATAGGTGCCACCCTCACTTTTTCACGTATGTGCTCATTTCGAATTTTATCTTTACGTGTATGTCCGCACATCCATCGTAACATTCTCATCTCTGCTACTCCAACTTTATGCTCTTGCTGTCCCGTTAGAGCCCAACATTCACTACTATATAACATTGCCGGTCTGATAGCAGTACGATAAAACTTTCCTTTAAGTTTATTAGGCACCTTACGGTCACAAATAACTCCTTTAGCTTTTCTCCAATTAAACCACCCAGCTTGAATTCTATGTGAAATATCTCCACTGATTTCGCCATCATTTTGGATAATGGCTCCCAAATATCTAAACTTTTCCACTTGAGGTATAATTTGATCTCCCAATTTCACTTCCAAATTATTTTCGAATAGTCCTTTATCAAATTTACAATATAAATATTCCGTCTTACTTCTACTCAGACGAAAACCTTTCGACTCCAATGTCCTCCTCCATAACTCAAGTTTGCAATTAACCTCTTCTCTTGTCTCTGCTATAAGAACTATATCATCCGCGAAGAGCATACATTTCGGGATTTCCTCTTGAATATGTTCCGTCAAAACATTTAAAATCAAGTTGAACAAATAAGGACTCAGAGATGATACCTGATGTAGCCCAATCTTTATAGGAAAATCCTTTGTTTGACCACTAGGCGTTCTTATACTAGTTTTTACCCCCTCATACATATCTTGTATGGCTTTAATATAAGCAATCCGTACTCCCTTTTTTTCCAACGCTTTCCAAAGCACTTCTCTTGGTATACTGTCATAAGCTTTTTCCAAATCAATAAAAACCATGTGTAGATCTTTATTTTTACAACGATACTTTTCCATTAATCCCCTTAGTAGATAAATCGCCTCTGTAGTTGATCTACTTGGCATAAAACCAAATTGATTCTCAGAAATACTTGTCTCCAATATCAACCTGTGCTCAATTACTTTCTCCCACAATTTCATTGTGTGGCTCATGAGTTTAATCCCTCTATAGTTAGTACAATTCTGAATATCTCCTTTATTTTTATAAATAGGAATTAATGTACTTCTCCTCCACTCATCAGGCATTTTCTTGGACCGTAAAATCACATTAAATAACTTAGTTAACCATCTCACCCCTTCTTCACCTAAACATTTCCACGCTTCGATAGATATACAATCAGGTCCGTTAGCTCTACCATTTGCCATTTTCTTAAGAGCTTCCTTTACCTCCTTATCACGTATTTTTCGATAGAATGACAAATTTTGTTCTCCTTCACTAGTTACTAAATCCTCCAAGTTACTAGATGAATCCTCTCCATCATTGAAAAGTTTAGAAAAATAAGTCTCCCATCTATTTTTAATTTCATCATCTGTAACTAAAATTCTTCCCTCTTCATCCTTAATACACCTTACCTGTTCTAGATCTCTTGATTTTCTTTCCCTACTCTTGGCAATCTTATAAATATTTTGCTCTCCTTCCTTCGTCTCAAGGTTCTTATAAAATTCTTCAAAAGCTTTAGAACGAGCTTCACCCACAGCTCTCTTAGTTTCCTTCTTAGCCATACGGTACCTCTCCCAATTTTCCTCATTGTTACACAAATGTATGGCTTTAAAACAGTTCTTCTTATACTTGATTTTGTCCTGTACACTATTATTCCACCACCAAGACTCCTTATCTCTCGGACCAAGACCTTTCGATTCTCCCAAAACTACTTTTGCAACCTCCCGTATCTTTTTAGCCATATCCTCCCATATGATGTTAGCACTTCCCTGAGAATCCCAAATTCCTTTATCCAAAAGATTTCGCTTGAAAATATCTTGCTTCTCACCTTTTAATTGCCACCACCTAATCCTTGGTGTTACTACTTGTCGAC